TTTCTAGGAGCCTGGGGAGGGCAAAAACAGCCTTCCCCACCCCCCTGGAAGCCCTCAGGAGGCCCGGAAACAGCCTGTTTCCCGACTTCCAGTGGGCCCGGAAGGCCCGAAAATCAGCTGGCCAGCGTGCTGGACTGAGGTAGGGCAACACTTGCGTGCCCACAGATACGGCTCCATGTGCCACCTCTGGCACTCGTGCCATAGGTTCGCCATCATGGCCCTATATCATTTCAGAAAAATGGTTGTCAAATCTCTTCTTAAAAACCTCCAGTGTTGGAGCACCCACAACTTCTGGAGGCAAGTTATTCCATTGATTAATTGTTCTCACTGTGAGGAAATTTCTCCTTAGATCTAGGTTGCTTCTCTCCTTGATTAGTTTCCATCCATTGTTTCTTGTCCTGCCTTCAGATGCTTTGCGGAATAGGTTTGACCCCCTCTTCTTTGTGGCTAAAAAAAAGGTTTTGAACAGATAAAAAACCCAAGCCTGCTGCATTCACATATAAATGAATAATGTTTGTAGGTTATGTCCATCTGCCTGGCTCCTCTCTTTTCAAATCCTAATCTCTGTTTTCTTCCCTCTTCACTCCCCACCCCCGTTGCTCTTCCAGTGAAGTTGGAAAGATTTGAAGTGCCCATCAAAGTGCGTCTGAGTCCGGAGCCCTGGACTCCTGAAACAGGCTTAGTCACCGATGCTTTCAAACTGAAAAGGAAGGAGCTGAAGAACCATTACCTCAATGACATCGAGCGGATGTATGGAGGGAAATAAGACCTCCCAATCGCCCTGCGTCAGAAACCATGCGTTGTTTCTTCTGGCATTGGACGATGAATGAATTTCCCAAAGAGCGGTTGTATTTCCAAACAGAAGCTGTGCTTCATAAAACAGTTGAAAATTTACTCTTGGTTACCCAGAAGGAACGGCTGCTCTGGCTTTCTGCCCTGCAGTTTTCCAAGATGCTGTCAAAAATACCAACCCACTGCCATGGTTTCATTAGACCACTTCCAGTTCCAAATGGTTGTGTTCATACGGAACACCCTCACTGGATAAACCAGTACTTCTACCTTTCTATTCCGGCGTCTTCTCTGATTTGAAAGCAGTGTGATCGTCCAAGGCGATGTTTTCGAAATGGATGAAAAGAAGCCGGTTGCAAAGGCGATACGGAAGAGGTGTTGTGAGGGTGGGGCAGAACTCAGCCCCCTCCAAAATGCTGCTCCAGAAATGGCTCTCTCAGGTCCTTGGCTGAAAGGCTCATTTGAAAGTGGCTGTCATTGGAGGCACAAAGAGAGGAAGAGGGATTTCTCTTGTGAAAACGGTACTTTCACTCAGCCGTAAACTGACAGTCCAACGCAACAATGTCCCATGGGATCCTTGCACCACATGCCAAGTTATTCCTTCCTTTCTGCAGCACCATCCTGCCCATCTCTGCCATGAAATTATTCCTGCAATTTCTGATTATTTGTATTACTCATTCCAAAAAAAAAAAAAAAAAAAAAGGCTCCGTAGGCAGTTGGCCGTAGTTTCCACTGCTCAAGAGAATACTGGTGGTACTTTTAAAAGTCACGTTTCCTGCTGCATTGGGAGAAAAAAAAACCCTTTTACTGCCATTGGTGAGCCCAGACAGATTCTCTCATATTTATTTTTCTTTCTTTCAAATTGTTGTGTTCCATACAGAAAGAGGGAAGAGATGGCTGGTAGTATTAAACATTTAGAGTGCCTAAAAAAAAAAAAAACAACTATCCTCACAGACGATCAGAAGTAAATTAAGACATTCCAATCAAAACATTTCAAGCTGTCTTTTGGAAGAAGACAAGTGGATGACTTTGGCCATGTCTAGCGTCACTTTGGCTTATACTAAGAACGCTGGCATTACTGCCACAATTAAGCCGGCATCTTTTCCGATCATTTATTTATTCGCACTCGCTACGTTTTAAAAAAAAATCAGTGGAACAAAACGAGTCCTGTAGCTAAAGGAGTCAGCATACTATCTGCTTTTGCAGAGTGTTATGCTTTTTGGGATGTTTGCACCGCTTCCTCTAAGCACATCCCCACCACAGATAAAATATTTGGTTATTGTTGTCTGTTTGTTTTTTTATTTTAAAGGGGCATTTTAATTTATCTTTGACTATATCACATAAAACAAAATCTTATATTAAAATGAATTTCTCTTCTATGCGAGTGATGGACGTAGCCTTGGCAACTTTGTGTTTTAAAGTGTTTGCAAAGGGAATTTTTTTGTCTGCTATTTTTATTTAAAAACTGGAAATCGATGTACGGAGGGTGGGAGGGAGCAGCAGTCTCCTGTGTTGCTGTGTGCATTATTTTACAAGAATGTCTTTTGTGCACTGGGCTTCTCAATTCATACTAGTAGTTCACACTTGAAACAAAAACTGAGAAGAACTTGGCGACGATGGGATGTTGTTCTACTGTGCACTTTCAATCCTTTTCTGTATGTGGCTTCCATTTTTGTACAAATGTGGCTCTCGGGTGCATTGTGTTACCTTTTGGTGGCTCTAAAGTATTTATAAAGTAGATTCTCTTTTATTCATTATACTTTAATGTGTATATTATGGTTAAAAAAAGAAAAATAATTGGATATTATTTGGAGAATGAAGGAATTTTGTATGAGATGTTGTTCAATACACAGCGGTTTTAAAAGCAAGTTCGGGAAGTTTTTCCTTTTGCTACGTAGATGTGCAGTTGAGTCAGCTGTGCATGAGGACCCATTTTTAAGCCATGAGGAATATTTTTGAGATAGTTTCTGGGCAAGCTTATCCTCTCCTAGTGACTGAAAATAAACATTTAAAACAGGTCAGACCGCAAGAAAATACGGCCCTAGGGAAATGCCTCTTAAGAGCTCAACCAAACACAAACCCTTATTTACAGAAGCAACAAATGCTCTCCCTACCATTTAGTGGGTTTCCTCCAAAAACAAGCTCATTTAGCATGAGATGAAACTCTGAGGTGGAAGATATTTTGATTTAAAGCATAACAAAAGGTTAAACAGGAAATGGGTATATGCAGAGGAAATGCCTAAGGTGGGATTTCAACAGCTCACACTACATATATGCATTAAGGGTACTGCTGACCTGTGAGATTTTTCTCTTCCGGTTTCTCAACTAGCATCATTTTCAGAAGGGGTGGAGATGCTCTTGGAACAAACTTTCCAAGATGGTGGATGACCTACTCAGTAGAGAAGGTCAACAAAACATTTTTTCTTCTCTTTATTCACATGGTTGTTAAGGCTGTAATTTTCAAGATTTTTTCAAGTTTAAATATGTGTAGTTCATTAGTGAGAGTATACTAAATTGCTGTCCCATAAATAAGCTAGGTTATACAACCATACTCCTTACTGTGGACAAGTTTTCTAGAACTGGGAAACACATCTCTGCACACCAAGAGGCTTGCCTTTCACTCTCGTATCGAAACAATATCACACTCTCCTATCAAGAGATGCTAAGTGACAACTAGAACAAGGAAGTCATCCCATTTTAGAGAAGCTAGAACGGATTTCAACTTTGCTAAGTTAGAACCCCCTCATCTTCAGTTAGAACAAGTCAACAAAGTACCATATCTTGAGAAAAAATGCTGTGTCTCCCCTCTCATAAAGTAGTTTCTCTGGCAAGCAGGAATAAGGATCTAACTATAATATGTACAAGTTTGCAATTCTAAGATGAGCAAGAAGCTTTGCACAGATTCACTAAGCCCGGTAGAAGTGACTTCACTGGCCATACTTTTTTATTCCCAAACACCAGTTTTATAAGAGCCATGATGGCACAGTGATTCGAATACAGTATTGCAGGCTAACTGCCCACTGCCAACAGTTCGATCCTGACCAGCTCAAGGTTGCCATCAACTTTTGTCAACCTGTCCTTGGCTCACATCTCTTAATTTTGCTGAAACAGGGTGGCTGACTGTCAGTCTGATCTCTAAAATGTGCAGCTGATAATGCAATCCCATCTGCATCTAAATCATCCGGAGTTGAAAGATACCTAGAAGCCTGCTGAGCCTTTCTGAGATTGTGACATCAAACCATCATCCACCTCCATCATCCAGTGTGGAGCCACTTCAGGCTTGGTTCCTGTTTTGGAAGCCGGACAAAATAAAACCCCACAATTGTGTGTCCAGATTTAGCTCAAGAAAGATGTCATTCCTTATAAGAAATAGATTCTAGCATGTTTGCAGCCTGAGCCTTTTTTGGTCATTATGGGTTACTTGTTTTGAGTGGAACAACTCTGAATTGGTTGATGGAGAGCAGATCAAGCTGACCTGTTTTTCTTTGATCGTGTGCTCTAAAAATTCCACCTCTCTTCTACCACAAACATATCCAGATGGGAAAAAAAAAGATTTCCCAAAGAAAAATATGGGGATATTACCCATTTACATCAGTAAAATCGAGGCCACTACTTTCTGTTGAAAAGTAAAGTCATCCAAAAGTTTGGTGGTTCTTCCTGCATTGTTTCTCAACTCTAGGCAGCCACCTCCAATTTTTATTGCTCTCTAGTTATGTCAGACCTACAACTTGCAATATACCTGGGCCAGAGCTGGTGTGTAGGTCCCCATCTAGCCATGACTAGATATGCAGTACTTGAAACAGAGCCCTGACATAAGTTTTGATGGCTATCAGTAAAATAGGGATAAATGTGAAGCACAATCTCTACTACATTTAATAGCATTTACTCTGAAGTTACTATCTTAAAACAAATGCTGAAACGTGTTGTGGCCTCCTGAAGGGCTGTGGAGCTGGCAGCAGAGTCGGACACTGAGGAGGCTGGGGAGGAACATGGGCCAATCCTGGAGTCTGGGGAAGGCTCAGACGAGGGCTCTGCGTCGGAGGCAGAGATGGGGCCAGGGCCATCTGGGAGTTATGTGTGGACTCCGGAGCGTCTAGAGTCTGACATCAGCGAGGCAGAGGAGCAGGGGGAGCCAGTTAAACCAAAAGGGTCGACTTGGGAGTAGGGCTTGGAGATGATTGGCCCCTCCCGTAAGACATAAAGGAGGAGCAAAGGCACATAGGGCTTTGCAGGAAGCAACTGCTGTTCGTGCTTGCTGGTTTCGTGCTGGTTGGTGTTCCATGTGACCTTGCAAAGTTAAATGCCAATTAGGTCTTGCAGTATGTCAAAGGAGATAAAGGTGGGTGTTTATCAGCCTTTTCAGAAGAATGGCAGACTTCTGTCGGACCCTTTACAACTATTTGGGACTCATCTGTGAATGAACAGATTGAGAATGAACAGTCTCTGAATGAGCAGAATTCACAGCCGTTGAAATAAAAAGAGGGTTTTTTGGACTCGTGTGCTTTTACTGTATCAGGAAGCCTAGGTCAGAACAAAGTGAACACACTATGCAATTTTGGGCTGCATAAAACCCATAACCCACCAAGTTAAAGTTCTAAGAACAAGATCTTAGTAAATTGCCATCAAACATAACTCATATCCAAGAAGACTGGAGCAACCAGATTATCAGAAGAATGTTTTTCTTCAGCTGTTAGAAGAGTTTGAGTCTGTTGTAGTAACTGGAAGTTAAGATCATACCAAATGAATTAACCTGAGACAGTCATCCTTGAAAGAGATGTTCAGCATTTGAGAATTATATAAAACTACTTGAATTTATGGATAGAATGGCGAAAAGCAGATCCAGAGATGCCTACAATTAAATATATACTTATTCTGTACTTCGCCAAAAAAAGGACAATTGTGAAAACAATATTTTTTTTAAAAAAAAAAACTAGAACTCAAGATCTGTAACTGCTAGGAAGTGGAGGTTTTTCATAGTTGATATTAGTCTATCACAAGGTGAATCAACTGTCAAAATATCAGGTCCCAAGAAATAAAGGCAAGAATGACGAATTCAGGAACTCCACTTGAAGAGTAGTAAGAAGCGGATAAAAACATGGTACTGAAGAATCAACGAAATCTTGCTTTCCAACACAATCCTTTATCACAGTTGCCATTCCAATCCAAAGAACTTTGGGCAACTTACAAAAAATAAAATAAACGCCCAAAATAGAAACGCAACTACCAGTTGAATAGAAGATCAGCATCTTAATAATGAAACCCTAGGTGGCTGGGGAAGAATGTTTTAAGCCTTCTCCTGATCTTGTCATAGGGAAGAACTAAGACCCAAAACCAACAGCCTCAAATATTCTCCCAGTGGAGATCTTGGGTTGGTTTTAAAGACACCTGAGGCATTTTCAGAAAGGGATGTCTTACTGGCCTAACCATGCAGAAGAATAGAAAAGAGAACGAAGAAGTTGGCCATCCACACAAATGGCCAGGCTGAGATTATTTTACTTCAGACACGTGATGCAAATCTCTGGAGGAGGCTCTGAGGCTGGGGAAGGAAAGAGAAGAAAAGGACCACCAGCAGCAAGCAAAGAGCCTTGCTGGTACAGTGGTCTAAGCACCCTGTCATTAACACAGCTGCCTGCAATTACTGCTGGTTCGAATCTCTCCAAGGCTCAAGGTTGACCCAGCCTTCCATCCTTTCTAAGGTAGGTGAATTGAGGACCCGGTTTGTGGGGGCAATAAGCTGACTTTGTATAAATATACTGTTGGAAGAAACATCCTTCTAGGTTCTGCTCCAAGTGGGGAAAAGGACACTGGAGACATGGAGACTGCTTGGAAAGATGGTTTAATGGTGGACAGCATCACATGGCTTGAGTTCCTGAACAGAAAAGGGGCAGATACAGTAAATCCTCGGGGTTTTATGCTCTCTCTGGCTCTGAACTTCCTGGGGCCCAGAAAGAGTATCCTGATTGGTTGTCAGACTCCCAGGGGGTGGGGGCCTTGCTGGCTGATGGTCATATGTGCTTCCCAGGTCACATGTGATGAGTTTCTGCTGATATTCTGTAGAGAGCTAATCCTATCTTTGTTGGATCTTTGGAAATTCCTACTATGGCTCTGCCTGAAGGAGGCAGATCTTTGTTATGTAGAATAGACTGGCCCAGGCCTTAATGGCCCATTGACAAAGGGTGGGGGCAGGAAGGTGGGAGCTGCTTTGTCTGTAAAATATGCTTCTCCATTTCTCATCCAGGGAAATATAATATTCTGCCTTTTTCATATTTCCTAAAATATTTCACTCTTCCAAGAAAGAGGTGGGTGCTAACTTCCTACATATACAAAAGGATGAAGGCTATTGCTTAACGCATTGTAAGCCACCCTGAGTCTCCGGAGAAGGGCGGCATATAAATCAAATTTAAAAAAAAAAAAAGGCGGGATGGACTCAGCCACCAGTCCACGACCTGATCATCCTGGAGAAAATCTATGTGGCCACTAAAAAGTCTAAAACCACCGTCGATGGCATCGAATCAATCAAATCTGGAGTTTCTGCACAGTTCCTCAATCCAACTCGGCCAAGATCAACCCTGGTTCGTTTCTTAGATCCGCCGGGCGAAGCCAAATGCCCCCCCCGGGACGAGCCCAGCAGCTGCTCCCAAACCAGGAGAAGCCACAACTGCAGCGCTGCTTCAGGCTCCACCGAGACCCCCTCCCTGGACAGGCAAAGCTTCCCAGATGGCTTCTCCGCCCTCCCCACCTTTTCTTCCCAATTCCTCGGGCTGGGGTGGGGGCAGAATCTCTCCCAAAGCAGCTCAGGTTTCAGGATTTCCCATTAAGGAACAAAGGCGCCTCCGGGAGGCGGAGAAACTCCGGCTCAACCCCCCCCCGCCCCTCCCCAAGCCCGGGGAAAGGAGGGGGCGCGTCCCCGGCCCCTTGCAAGCCGGCAAGCGGAGCATCTGCAGCCTTTTGTCTCTGCCCGGCGCCCGGCAGGTCAGGCGGAGGAAGCCCCGGGCGCTGCTTGGAGCCATGCAAGAGCCGGAGGCGAACTGCAGCGAGAGCCGGCGGCTGCAGCGCCTCCTGGGCCGCCTGTGGCAGGAGCTGCGCGGCGGGGGCGGCGGGGGTCCCGGCCCCAGCGCTTCTTCCAGCCCCGCCGCGCGGCCCCCGGCGGAGGACGACGCCTACCTGTACATTCTGCTGATCATGATCTTCTACGGCTGCCTGGCCGGCGGGCTGATCCTGGCTTACACGCGCTCGCGCAAGCTGGAGTCCAAGCACGACCCCTACCATCTCTACATCGAGCGCGACTGGGCGGCGGGCGGGGGCGGCAGCAGCGGAGAGAGCGAGCCCCTGTGACGGGTTGGGGGAGGCAGCGAGCCCAACCCCGGCCCCAGGACCCCAGCCTTCCTGGGACTCCAAGGGGGGGGCTTCAGGGTTCAACAGGACCCCCACTGTCTTTCCAAGCCTCCCCCCCAGGAATTGCCATGGCCCGAAGCGGAGACGCAGCATCAGAGAGCCTGTAAAGAAAGTGAACAGGTTGGGATGAATCTGGCTCTTTCACCCACTCCCTCCACCCCACAAATCCTGGGTGCCTTGGAAAGAAGAGAACCCCCCCTCCCCCAGATTCTGACTGCTTCCAACCCAACCTGGTTGCTTTGTCTGGCTCTGCTCTGCAAAATAGGTGAGTTCTCCAGCCAGCCCTGCTCATCCGTCGGGGTTCGGTTTTTTAAGGTGGCTTTGGCCGCCCAATGTCTTCTGCAATGGATTTTGGCTAAGGAGAAAACCCAGCGTGAAACCACAGGTGACTGACTCGCTCTTCTTCATCCCTCCTGGCAGCTGCCAGGGCTGGGTTTTGTCAAAGGAGGCCGAAAGAGGCCACGGCTGCATCCAGAGACTGGGAGGAAATTCAGAGGCTTGATGTCACCTTGCAAGAGAGCCAGAGCCTTACAGTTCCAAAGGGTGCCATTGTTTTTTTGCTTTCACAATCTCAAATCAATGCGTCTCTCTCACAGAAGGCAGGTCAGCATCTATTTAAGGCAAGAGTGGACCAGCTCCAGTGTTGAGGATTTCAGAACCCTGTGATGCTGGATTTCAGAAAACACAAGCATTCAAATGTTCCCAAATAATCAGAAAAGGACATTCTCAAGATCTCAGGATAAGACTAAAGCAGGACTGTTAAGCGTGGTTTAAGAGCTGTCTCAAGCCTCATCCAAGATTCCCCTGCTGGATTCAGTTGGCTTCTCATTGTTAAAGGTTTTAGAGGAAAAACTTAGGTATGGGAGGACATACACAGGTATGAGAAGATGGAAGGATCTGTTTGAAAAGTAGGGCTGATCCAAAGCCAAACCTTTAGGATTTTGTGTTGTGGCAGTACCTTACTTATGCTTCAAACAATATTCCCCAACCTGGGTGGTGGCAACTCCCAGCAGATACATCTAGGGCAGTGGCCCCCAACCTTTTGGGCACCAGGAACCAGTTCTGTGGAGAGAGGTTTTCCTCAGACCAGAAGGGGTGTGGTTTCACGTGCTGCCTGCATCCTACGGATGGAACTTTGCTTGTTTGCACGGCCCAGTTTCTGGCATGCTGTGGACCGGTGCCGATCCATGGACCGGAGGTTGGGGACCCCTAGTCTAAGGCATTGGGGCAGTATAAAGAATTGACCTAAAGAAATTGCTGGCTCCTAGTCCTAGTCCTTTTCTCTGCACAATTTAAAGTGATGGGAGTTAGTTGCCAATTGCTTCACTGCCAGGTCCCAGGTAAAGTCACGTGCCGTTGGGGAAGGAGATCTTTTCATCTCTGGATCTTCTCTTTTGGAATTGGGTAGTTAGGAGATTCATTTAGTGTCCATATTATGAGATGGTGGTATACTGCGGGCATTTTAAACAAGGGTGAAACTTTTAATTCCTAGGGCGGTGTTTTTCAACCTCAGTAATGTGTGGACTTTTAACAACTCCCAGAATTCTCTAGCCAGCGTGAGATTGAGAAACAGTGCCATAGTCTATTTCCAATCCATTTTGCAGAATTGTGTGGATGAATTTATTAGTCACACACATAAAGGGGATTGGGCTCTCACATCTCATCTTAACATTCTGTCCTCTTATCATTCATAGCCTGAAAGGGGTCCTGCCTACTGGAATGGGCCAACTCACTGTGGGACAATTGATTAATTATTTAAAATAATTAAAACATTATTTTACTTTTTAGCATTCACTTTACATTTTGTTCCTTCTTTTGCATCCTTTCTTTAATGATTCTATTCCACCATTTTTTCAATATTAGTGTAAATCTTGTTCCATGACAAGCTGGTCATAGCAAATTGTCCCATGGTGAGTTCGCCATAGCTGTCCCAGACCCCCTACCCACTTCCGTTTTTGGTGATGGTGATGCTGATTTTCTTCTTGGTTATTTTGCAGCCAGCATTTTTTTTTTAAAAAAAAGATTTTCAGATGATCATCAAATCCTATAAGCAGTATTTCAGTGGAGAGGCGATTTCTGTAATGAACCAATTTTAATCAAATAGACTTTTAAGATTAAAGATTTTAATCAAATCTTTTGCTGTTTAATTTAGCAAAGGTGTTGTCTTTGGTCTAAAATGAAATGATAAATGCTATGACTTTGTTAACTAGGAAGTAGAGCTAATGAAAACAATTTCCATCTTTTAATGATTTTTGAGAGGTAGATTTCCAGTACAAATAAAATAACATTTACATGAACGATGAATGATTCTGGTTTCTAGGGTGCGATGAATCTTATGCTGACACGACATCCCATGTTCTTGGGAAGGATTTGATATGTATGAAGGCAACAACAGCTAAAGAACTGGCAGTTGTTATTTGCAGTCTTAAATATATTTGTGCAGTTTAGTGGTGACCACGTACTTGCTCAAGTGCAGAGTGATCTCTCATCACTAGCACTGATGATGTTACTCAGTTTGAGTAATGAAATTTCTGCAAGAAAACAAGCAAGCTGAGAGAGCACCAAGGAGCCCTCATGATTTCTCTTTGCTTTCCCATCCCTGTTAGAATTGCAGATATGGTCTTCTGGGAGGCAGGTCCCGTTTTCATCCATCCACAAAAGGCCTTAATAATCCTGTACAAATTTCACACCCCGCCAACGAAACTTCCTTTGCAATGCCTCTAGGTGTGAATATTTATTGCAATGGTACTTTCGCAGTCATAACTTGTGCAGCAACATTGGCTAGGCTACGCTCCCTTCTAAATGTTTTGCTTCAGCGTTTGATTAATCCCAATATTACAGAATAAATTTCCACTGGAGTGGAAAGAGACCCCTTCGCAGTTGAGCAGGTGGCTCAGAACATGCTTGTTTTCCTAAGATTTTTTTAAAAACATTACAACTTTTGCCTTCTTTAGAAGGCATTTTGTTTTAAACTTAGTAAGCATGCTTTCTTCTTGTACTTTCAAAGGTGTTCAGAGGGATACAGTACAATTTCTACATCAGTACAGTACATGAACATATGGCGCGGGGGGGGGGGGGGGCCGCTTATAAAAGTTACACACTGAAAATAAAACCTTAAAATGTGCCTGCAAAGATCTCTTCATGGACTGAGTGGAATCCACTGGTAATAAATACCTTAGTGGTTTATAGTTGTTGGAAATTCTACCAACATCCAGGATATGCTGAAATCTCCCAGAGCTCATATCGGCTGATTTCAGAAAGCTTTCAATGCAGTCTGTTATCAATAAAGCTTTGCTGCTTTGGAATAAGGATATGATATGAAGTGATATTTAGGTATTTATTGCCCTCAAAAAGATCTTGTCTTTGTGCATGCCTGCATTCCTGCTCTCCCTTTGCCTGGTATGTGGCTCTCTGAAGGTTGTGCATGCTGGGAAGCACAAACAAGCCAGAGATGCACTGTTCTGGGTCATGGAACCAGGGCCAGGGCTTAGAATAAGCAGCCAGCAGCATTCCAAGCTGCTGCACAAATAGCCCACTCTAAAGAGAGGCCCTGTGGATTTACTTCCTGTATAGCCCCCCTACCAGTTTCAGACTGGGACTTTCCTTTTGTTTGGCTTTCCTCCCACACCAAATTTGATTCCACTCCCTTTTGTTTTTGGTGAATTACTCACTGGTTGGGCAGAGTACCAAGCCCCTTTAAATAATAACTTTCCAAGATTCTGTTGATTTGGAAGAAATATAAAGGTAGGTCCTTTTTTAAACTATATTGTAACCATGAATAGTTCATAGTCTTAGGTGAAACTTGTTTCTATGGCACTTATCAGATTAATTCAGAACTGCATTTTGGGAAAAGGCACCTTAAAATTGCACATTCATAAGTGCCATGGAAACAGTCCATCATCCACATCCTCCTCAGAAAAGCACCAGTGCATCTGAATAAGACCCACCGGCATATTGTCAATCAACAAAACAATCTGGACCTTATCTCTCAGTGTGATCTTTGCACTACAGGTAGTCCTTGACTTACGACCACACTGGGACCAGAATTTCCATTGCTAAGCAAGATGGTTTTTAAGTGAGTTGTGCTCATACAGCCTTTTTTTTTGCTACAGTTGTTAAGCAAACACCAGTTAAGTGAATCATGCAGTTGTAGCGAATCTGGATTCCCCCATTCGCTTTGTTGGAAGTTGGCTGGGAAGATCACAGATGACAATCACATGACCTTGGGATACTATAACTGATGCAAATACATCCCAGTTGCCAAGTGCCCAAATTTCAAACACGTGACGATAGGGATGGATGCTGCAGAGGTCATAAATGTGAAGACTGGTCATAAATTGCTTTTTTCAGTGCTCTTGTAACTTTGGATAGTTGCCCAATGAATGGTTGTAAGTCGAGGGCTACTTGTACGTAGGCATGAAAGAAGAGTCTTGGATGATCAAATCACAGATGCCTATCAGATTTTAGTGGAAAGTTCTCAGTGTTAATTTTCTTCCTGTAATGCTTCTTACCATTCAAATTTGTGGCACAGAAAAAGGGGGAGAACAGATGTTTTGACATTTCAAAACAATATGTAGGAATCTCTTAACAAGATTGTCCCGTTTTCAAACAGAGCTGAAGAAGATTCTGGCATTTTCTAGGAGAAAAAAATGTCCAGTTGAAAAGCCACATTTGGGACAACCATGACCAAGATTCAAATCCAAGATTGGATTTGGTCATAAACAATGCTGTGGCATGGGAAAGCAGTAAAACAGGTACTGGGCACTTTCCCTGCAGATTGGGAAAAACTGGGGAACAAATGCAAGATTGAACAGAGTAAAGTGGGGTATTTTCAATTCCATTAAATTTATATATGCTCAGAAACGTTCTGATTTTTCACTGTGAAAAATGACAAATGAAGAACAATTTAGAGAACAAAAAAATTCCCTTAGATGGATTTCCCTTTAATAAAATCATTTTTTTCTCCGAATACTGAAATATGAAGCAATTACTGCTATGGAATCAGTGAAAAATGCAAACACGTATAAAAACAGCATAAACACGTAGGGAAATTCCACAGGAATAAATCAGCCACACGCTCATGTTTCATCCAACCTGCAGCAAAATTCTTGTACTTGTTTCAGCAAGGCCCACAAATTCCAGAAGAGCTCATGAATCACAGATACAATCTTTATCCTTCCACCATCATTTTAATTCTCATCGAAGTAAACAAAACTTGTGCCTAATAGCATTTCTCCCAAAATATTCAAGGAGGAGGAGGGTCCGTAATGTGTTAAATCTGAAATCTGTTAAAGTTGGAAAGTGCACAGAAGGCTTATAAAAACGATTCCACTGTCACTTAAAGAGGTAATCAGTAGAGTTAAACTTGGCTGCGATGCGGCCTAATGAAACCTTGAAAGCAAGGAAGTTCTTTCATTAAAAACAACATATGCTATAACTGTGAAACGTACAAAGAGGTGTGGAGACACGGGTGAATTTCCATGCTCAACAGGATCATCCCCAAATCCAGAAGAAAACATTTTGCTCCTCTCACTAATGAAGGCTTTCTTGGAAACGGAGACAATCACTCATGACTTTCCAGACTGTGTTGTTATTTGTTGTCTGTTCTGTTAGCAGGAAGTTCTGGTTGAAGTACTGTGGCTTGTTCCCATCAAATTTGACAGTCCCACAGGTCACGACAAGAACAGTAGTCTGATTCTGAGTCGCTTGCTCTTGAGAAAGGAAAGAAAAGGATGCTAAAACACAATTGCTCCTCAGAAGTCTACTTTTAAACACAAGCATGGACATTTCTAAGAGAGATTTTTTAAAAAAAATTTGATTTATATGCCGCCCTTCTCCGGAGACTCAGGGCGGCTTACAATGCGCTAAGCAATAGCCTTCATACTTTGGTATATTTATACAAAGTCAGCTTATTGCCCCCACAAACTGGGTCCTCATTTCACCTACCTTAGAAAGGATGGAAGGCTGAGTCAACCTTTTTAATTTTAATTCTTGTCTCATTCTAATTCTTTCCCAGTACTTAGAAGTAATCTATTTAGCAGTTCAAATGCATGCAAATGCGGGTAGATAAATAGGCACCACTTCGGTGGGAAGGTAACAGCGCTGCGTGATATCATGCTGGTCACATGACCATGGAAATGTTGGCCCAATGGCCTTGAAACACAGATGATCATTTGCCCCTATAGTTGGCAATGACCAGTGGAGTAAAATCTGCAGGGACTCCTTTATCTTTACTCTACCTACTTAGAAGAAAATTCAGCAGCTTTATTTATCACATTATTCATCTGAGCATAGCAGCGTACATAGTGATGCACCTACCCAATCTCCTGCCTTTTTAAAAAATGCACAGCCACCCACAGATGCTGCTGGTATTCCTTGCCTCTTTCTTTCAAACCCATCAAAGTACATTGGAGCCAGCTATTCTGTTCTGCAACCGCTAGCATTTTGTGACATATTCTTGAGAACCAATAATTCAAACCACATGCTGTCAACCTTCAGGCAAACTGAGGAAAAAAGGATTTCCACTGTGGACAAACACTTATTTAATTTATATGCCATTTGTCTCACCCTGCCAGGAGACTCTGGGTGCTATGAGAAAGTTCATTTCTCAGTTGGAGCTAAATGCAGAATTGGAGGTTTTGTTCAAAAGGACTAAGCAGGATGCTAGTCTACTATGCTACTTTCTAAAATCTAAAAGAGTAAGTAACTCCTAGCTATACAAATTCAAATATTTTAATTGCATTTCAGAGTAGAGCTGTTTGTCCTTCACACCATGGAAAAGATTACCCATGCCACTGCAGGGGTGAAATGCTCCCGGTTCGGACTGGATCTCCCGATCCGGTAGCAATGGCGGTGGGTGGTTCGGAGAACCAGTAGCAAAAATCCCTGCGCCCCCCTCACCATGCCCAGCTGAGCCGCACAATCATCAGAGGCTTTTTTTTTTTTACTTTTAAAAGCATTTTTTCTACAACCTCTTGACAAAAAAATGCTTTTAAAAGTAAAAAAAAAAAAAAGGCCTCTGATGATCACGCGCTCAGCTGGGATCGTCAGAGGCTTTTCAAAGCATTTTTTTCTGCAACTTCTTGGCTGAAGAGAGCATTTTTAAAAAAGCCTCTCTGACGATCCCAGCTGAGTTGCCTGATCGGCAGAGGCTTTTCAAAGCATTAGAAAAAATGCTTTGAAAGTTTTTTTTTTTTTTTTTTTAAAGTTGGCCAGGCCCACCCAGTCACATTATTCCCCACTACCAAGCCATGCCCACAGAACCGGTAGTAACAAATTTTACATTTCACCCCTGTGCCACTGCATATTAATAACTTTGTGGATAGTGGCACTTCTTAAGTTATCTTACCATGAACAGGCTGGCAATCAAACGTGTTCACTTGGAAGTCACTAGATGGTAACATCTCAAAGAATTTAGCAAGGCCTTCTTGGCCAGATATAGCATTCCCATTCCAAACTAGAGTTGCATCATCAGTGTACAGTCTGGTTAATACCTGCAGAACATTAGAAAACATTAGGTGATATGCCAGGATTTGCCATTTCCACTTGCAAACCCTTACTGAAAAATCTACTTTTGTCTTACAGTCATGTTTTTTAACATTCAAATAATTTTTAAAGAGGTTCTCTGGGAAAACTCCACTCAGTTAAATATCTGCTCCCAATAAACTAATAGATAAGAACTATGAAACTAAAGATAGGAAGTGTGCAAAATATTTCTAAATTAGAACAGATTGTTTCAACTTCAGAACATGTCCAGTGAAAAGAGAACCTAGGACACTCTAACCAATTCTTAAGAGATGGCTTGGCTAAGTCTCTGCATTTTTCTTGGCAAGGTTTTGCAATTGTCTCCTTCTTAGGGTTGAGAGAAAGTGACTGGTCCAAGTCACCCGGCTGACTTAGTGCCCAAGGTGGGACTACAATTACTACTACTCCCCCAGTTTCTAACCTAATGCCTTAACACTACATCAAACTGGCTCTAGTTGACTCCTAGTTGACTCTAAACAGTGAAGTATTTCTAAAAGTAATAAAGGAAAGATAAAAATATATAAAACCATACATTCTTAACTAACAAAATAGCTACTAGAAATCTACATACCCGTCTTCTTTTATCCATGGTTTCATAATAAATGTTTGCAAATTCTTCCGCTGCTCTACATGCTTGATCCACATAGGTTTTGAAGTCCTAAAATAAACCCACATAGTTAAATGAAATTATCCTCAGGGAACATCAATAATATGCTAGTCAGATTTAGCAATTCTACTCTGCCAAGTGCTGCCAGACCCACATGTGGCCTTTATGTCAATTTGATTCTCATGGGTACAGAAGCCCCATCACTTACTAACCAAAACAGCCAAAACAGGCTGCTCTCTTGCCAAAAAAAGGACATTCCAACTGTCCTGGAAATTATCTAGATCCTAAAATGGGTTCCAAATGAGCCAACAAACTAAATCTGGTACAGACTGTGACCTTGTTTTTTGCTACTGAGAGAGTTTTAAAAAACTCCCATTTCACAATCCTGTAAAAAACAAAAATTTAATATATTGGAATATTAAAACCAGTAAAAAGTACATTATTGGTAAAATAACCAGAGTCAAATTCTGGGCACATCATGTAGTTGCCTGGAGCTGGTTCTCCTGATGGGAAAGGTGGAAGGAAAGGGAAGAAGACAATCAGCAGCAGGTGGAATTGACTCAGGTACAGTTGCAATGAACACACCTTTGGAAGACCAGATTAGGGACATATCATGGAGAAAACCTAATTATGTGGGCGCTGAAAATTTACACCAACTTGATGGCATATAATCAATAAAAAAAAATCAAACAACACAAAATTAAATGATTGCAACACAATGAATTTTCTGGGTGATTCTTAATGGTGAGGGTGACCTTAAACAATTGCTGAACAATCAAGGCAACACTGTTTTCAATGCAACTGGACTGCATTCCTACATTTCTGAAAATATAGAAGTGCTTTGCAATCATCTCCTGGGATGTTTCTGAATTTCCATCATGTACTCCAAAGTGGGTGTTGGTGGGGAGAGAATGATAACTCCTACCAATAAGGTTAGTATGAGGTCACCATAGTTCCGTGATGACGATCCTATGGCACGTGTGCTGGAAGTGGCACGCAGAGCCATGTCGCCTGGCCCGCGCGGCGTCGCCCATTCCTCTTCTAGGTTTCCGGGTCACGCATGCACAATGGCCAGCTAGACTGCTGGTTACTGGTGCGCATGGGCACGCAATGATCCGTTGGCCTTCATGTGTGTGGCAGCTGCCAGCTGAAGGCGCGCTCTTAGTGTGGGTGCGCACCGGCCATGCGCCGTCACCCGCATGCAGCCCCGGGACATCCACCCCTTGCCAGCCAGGAGTGCTGCCGCCAGTCGCTCCCCTGTGCCCGCCTGCCTCATCACCGTCACTGCCACTGCGAAGAAAGGCCCTAAAGCTGTGCCGCCTGGGATCCACATGGGCTGCCGCAGGGGGAGACCAGGTATGGCTGGACACTGTCCGGAGTGTGAGGCTGGCAGGAGCCGCCACTGCCTCTTAGCCAGCGCAAACGGCCTGCCACCTCCATCTCTGCCCTGCTGGATGCTCCTGCCAATGCCAGGGAAGTGGCAACGTGAGAAGTGTCGCCCCCAGGGGCGAGGGGGTGGCACCGGCAAGGATGGGCGAGCCGGGGCTTCCCTGTCTCTCCGCACGAGAAAGCACATTGTGTTTCAGGCAGCAGATCTGGCCAGGAGGAAAGAAAAGGTGAGTCTGCAGAGAAGGAGGAGGAAGGTGTGTGGTTCTGCAATGTGCACCGGAGAACCACAGAGGAAAGCATTTTCGGGCAGCAGCGCTGCAATCCCCTCTCCGAATCCACCCGAAAACACTTTCCTCCCTGGTTCTCCGGTGCACAAAGCAGAGCCACGCGCCTTCCTCCTCTCCTCAGCAGACTCACCTTTTCTTTCTTCCTGGCCAGATCCGCCGCCTGAAACGCAATGCACTTTTTTGATTCGGGGAGAGGATCCCAGTGCTGCCACCCGAAAACTCTTTCCTCTCCAAATCCAAAAATGGGGCGTGCGGAGACCAAAAAAGTGCATTGTATTTCAAGCCTCCGGGGGAGGGATTGAAGCCTGCTGCCGCGCTGCTCCTGCCACTGAGAGGGAGGCGGTAGCGTGAAAAGCGCCAGCAGTGGGGACAATTGGGTGGCAGCAGAAAGGATGGGTGTGCCAAGGCTTCAATCCCCCCTCCGAGGCCTTGGGCCATGCCAGAAGCCTGCTCGTGCGGGGAGACAGGGCAGCCCCGGCTCGCCCATCCTTGCCACCAGCACCCCCTCGCCCTCACCCATTCTCATGCTGCTGCTTCCTTGTCAGTGGCAGGAGCAGCCGGCAGGGCGGCGGCAGGCTCCAATCCCTCCCCAGAGGCCTGGGGCCAGACCAGAAGCCCGGTCATGCGGGGAGACAGGGAAGCCCTGGCTCGCCCATCCTTGTCGCCGCCACCCCTTCGCCCCTGGGGGTGGCGGTTCTCACGTTGCTGCAAGGGGCTTGCCGGGAAGCCCGGCACCCGACACCCAGTGGGGAGGAGCCCAGGCAAGGCTATGTGTTCAGAGCTTCCCCGGCCAGCGCATGGCGCTCCTGAGGTGGCGGGGCTGAGAGCATTGCCACTGGCTGGGGACTGGCTATCTCGCCAGGGAATGGTCCGGTATCTGGTTGTCCTCTGGTAAGAGGTGCACCGGCACCCTTGGAAAAAGTGGGGGCGCAGGCACGGGGGAGCGCATGTGCAGTGCATGCCTGGAGGGGAGGGTCATGTGCGCATGCACAAATGGGGCATGCATTGCATTATGGGTGCTGGCACGCGCGAGCGCGTTTGGACTTTGGGCACGCAACGCCAAAATGGTTCACTATCACTGCCATAGTTTATTATAGACATTGCTTGGTCAAAGCAAAGGGATTCCCTGGCAGTGTCCCTTCTAGCCACTTGTGAGGCAGTCTTTTTAAACTGTTGAATCTGCTGAAAGTTAGCCAGGTGCTGCCACCTGCTGAAACCCTTAACAAAAACTGAAAGTTTAACATGGATGAGAAGTAACCAATTACATTCCTCACATTATGAACTGTTTTTGGTATCCTTTTTTAAATACAATCCACTTTCCTCTCTCCTTTAGCTATTTTTTGCTTCTTTACTACATTCCCTCACAATGAAAAGAAAAACTGCAATTTAAACATTCACAATTTCAACAGTCTCCCCCTTCATTTTTAGCTCCAGAACCATATAAAAGTAGCAGAAAAACATTCTGGTTCTTTTCACACAAAATCCAACATTATTATATAATTCCATCATTTTCTGAACTCACCATAATTTTGTGGCTCAGTACAACACCCCCCCCCCGGGGGGGGGGGGTTTATAATGCCCTCTTGGATTCATCTAACTTGTCGAGTCCATTTGGCTTCAGGTGTCATGTAAACCTTCGGGAAACATGTGTTTGCATCTCTACTTGCATGCGTGTGAAAAGCTACCCAGAGACAACTCCACAACTGAGAAGGAATTGGAACTGTCATCTCTCTGACTAGGATCCCTACTCACTTATTAGCGGGATTGTTGAGGCTGCCCATCTATAAAAAAGATTCCGGGCAACCTACAATATATCCAATCCTAATTTAATTCACACCTAAAGACCACATAAACAGGAAAGCTGTAGAGTCTAAATGGGACATTGATGACTGAATTGAATCCTGTATAGGATCGTAGGAAGTTAGCACCCACCCCTTTCCTGGAAGAGTGAAATATTTTAGGAAATATGAAAAAGGCAGAATATTATATTTCCCTGGATGAGAAATGGAAAAGCATATTTTACAGACAAAGCAGCTCCCACCTTTCTGCCCCCCACCCTTTGTCAATGGGCCATTAAGGCCTGGGCCAGTCTATTCTACATAACAAAGATCTGCCTCCTTCAGGCAGAGCCATAGTAGGAATTGCCAAAGATCCAACAAAGATAGGATTAGCCCTCTACCCATCTAGCAACAGAAACTCACCACATGTGACCTGGGAAGCACATGTGACCATCAGCCAGCAAGGCCCCCACCCCCTGGGAGTCTGACAACCAATCAGGATACTCTTTCTGGGCCCCAGGAAGTTCAAAGCCAGAGAGAGCATAAAACCTGAAAAACTCGCTGTATCTGCCCTTTTTCTGTTCAGGAACTCAAGCTATGTGATCCTGTCCACCATTAAACCATCTTTCCAAGCAGCCTCCATGTTTCCAGTGTCTGTTTCCCCACTTGGAGCAGAACCTAGAAGGATGTTTCTTCCAACAGGGTGCATCAAAAGTCACTTTCCTGTACCTCTAAAGCCTTCCTTCCTTCCTTGACTCGTGAACCTTCTTAAATGTAACTAACTTTTTTGCTGGAAAAAAATACATGACTTCATAAAACAGTTTTTTCTATGTTTTAAATATATCTTTTATTTTTGGTAAGAAAACAATTCTATTTTTTTAAAAAAATACTTAAAATAAAATCTACTACTATCTGGAACGAGCCCCCCCCCCCCCCCCCGGAGATACAGAGGATCCCAGATCTGCGTATCTTCCGTCGCGCGCTTAAGACGTTTCTATTTCATCAAGCTGGCCTGACCTAAACTTTTCCTCTTTTTAAATGGGAATTTTAAATTTGATTTTAAATTATTGGGGTTTTAAAATGGTTCAGCCAAATTTATTTAATCGGTTTTATCTCTATTTTAAATTTTGTATCTATATGTTTTATTTTATGGCTGTTCACCGCCCTGAGTCCTTCGGGAGTAGGGCGGTATACAAATTTAATTATTATTATTAATAATAATAATAATAATAATAATAATAATAATAATAATAATAATAATAATATCTAATAAGAGAAAAAAAGAAAAAGAAATCTATACTGAGGATATGTGGAGGCTGGCCCAAGAAATTGACACGGAGCCGAAGAAGCTTCTGGGATGGGAAGCGGAACGTCTTCAAACAAAACCCAGAAAGTCCAGCCGTTACTTGGAAAAAAAAGCATCTTTGGGAGTCACATAAAATATTACACATTTCAACACTAAAAATCCCAATTTGGCTCCTCCCGGCCTTCTCGCTCCCCCACCTGCTTCGGACCAGGAGCCCCATCCTCCGCCGCCGCCGCCCCCCCCCTCCTCGGGGAAGATGGGTCTCGTAGTCCGGCGCCCGGGCTTCTCTTACCACGAAGGCGGACATGCCGGCGGCGTCTCCCCCGGGCGACCGCCCACAAGCGCCGTCCAAAGCCGAGCGGCTCTCAGGTCAAGCGGGAGAAGCTCCCCCAACGAATCACCTCAGCTCGTTTTCCCTTCCGGTCCGTCTCCCAACGCCTTCCGGTGCGTCTCCCAACGCCTTCCGGTGAACCACAGGTGCCCCCTCCGACAGTTCCGGCCCGGCTTCGAACGCGCAGGTGGATGGAAACAGCCTCGGCGCAGAGACCGGAGCCACGGTTCAGCAACTCTGCGCAGGATCCGGCGAACAACGAGCGAACCGATCCGAATACGGAATCTGCTGGCTTCTGACGGAATCTGCTGGCTTCTGACGGAAGGAAGCGGTTCCACCACCATAGAGTGCCGAAACCTAGAGCGGCAACGCTTGGAACTCCTGGCGGGCCTTATGATCACGGCGGGCTCGCCCTTTTCTCAACGCCGGGAAGGATGGAAGGGCGCCCCCTGCAGCCTTTGGGTTTGCCCCGCAACTCCAGGAGGGCCGGGCCAGGGATGGGCCCAGTTGGAAGGCCGTGTACTTCAGAGCTTATTGAGATAAGATGAAATGAGCTTTTTTATCATGAATGAAGGCGAAGCTTTATTGTCACTTTTTCACGCATTAAGAAAATGAAAGTCTAATGTCCGTTCTCAAAAGAATGTGTGTGTGTGTGTGTATATATATATATATATATATATATATATATTTCTTACACACACACACATATATTACATATATATATGTATGTATATATATATGTATATGCGTATATGTATATATAGCATGTATGTGTTGTGGATTTAATAAGACCAACACAACTTTTCAGGGTTAGCCAGAGACATTGTATATTGCGCAATAGGTTCAAAGCTCTGTACATGAAGTCTTGAACAAAGACAGAAATTAGGTACAATGGTTTTTATACTCTTCTAAGACAAAGGATTCTGTTAACTCAGCAGTTTATGTGATCATATACATTTGTCATATTTAATTGACATTTCCTAATTACTGTTTCATATTATTCTTTGCCAAGTCATAATTCTTCATGTAAATTACTGAAGCATAGATTCAAATTATCTCTTGTTAATATTACATGTGGTCATACTTGATCTCTTTAACCTTCATACTGTATATCACCAAATGTCTCTTATCTCTGACAACTGAGGGGCCCCTCTCTGAATGTTTCTACTTCAAAGGAACTTTTGTTCTGCCTTTGTACTGTCTCAACTGGTTAATTTGCAAGCACATTGTCTTTCCTACAATACTATGAATAAAGAGGGCCCTTCAGTGATCATCCAGCTGGACCCGCATTTACCTACATTATATGAGTATATTAATAGGTATACATGGGAATGCTGAAATGGTTGGGTGAAAATCTGTCTTAAGTCACTTTTTCAGTGTTGTAACTTCAAACCGTCACTAAATGAACTTGTAGGTTGAGCACTACATTACACACACACACGTTTCTTTAGCGGCAAACCATAAAAATGTAGATACAATCCTTGACTTGCAATCACAATTGGACCAGTTGCTAAACAGGACAGTTAAGTGAGTCACACAGAGTTTTATTACCCTTTTTTGCCACGGTTGTTAAGTGAGTCACTGGATGTTTTAAGTGAATCATGTCATTAAGTGAATCCAGCTTCCCCCATGTCAGATCCCTATCGTGATACTGCTATTCAAGTGGGGAGGAGACCCCAGATCCTTTTACTCACTTATTGCTCTCATCCTGTTTTCCTATGCATCCTGTAATTCCCTAGTTTATAACTTTTACCCTGTCACCTATTCTGTCCTGTCCTGTGCTTTGATTTTATTTTTTATTTATTTATTTGATCAAATTTGTATACCGCCCTACTCCCGAAGGACTCAGGGCGGTGAACAGATTTACCTTGGGGGATGTACCAGGGGGGAGGTCATCTGTTTTCTCTCGGTTCGGAAGCCTCATAGAAGAAGCGCATGGGAACGACCCCTTACCTCTTTCTCAGGATGACTGTTTCCACAACATCTTCGCATCTGTAGATTGGCTCATTCAACATCAAACTGAGAGGAGCGGTTTCTAACCACTTTATCCTAACGGAATTGTCTGGCGGTTTTCAATAAAAGGTTCCTTTTGAAATGCTGCTGTCTCAAGAATCCGTTCTCTCTTGATTGGGGAGTAGAGGCAGGACCTTACGTAATTTACTTTGCCTGTGCAGATGGTGATCACGTGATCCCAGGAAGCTGCAATTGTCATAAATACAAGCTGGTTGTCAAGCAGCCAAATTCTGAACATATGACCAGCCGATGCTGTGACAGCTGTAAGTGTGAGGACTGGTAACTTTTCAGTGCTGTTGTAATTTCAAATGGTCACTAAATGAGGAAGGACTTGAAGTGAGATGGAAGGATTGACAGTGTAAAATCCTTTCGTCTAAAGAAGATGTAGGAATATTTTTGCATGGTAAAAAATTGGACATGTTAGGATGTTCTATATCATTTGACAAAGCAGCATAAATGCAAGATTTCCTGCTTGTTTCTTTCTTTCTTTTAGTGAGACCTAAAACTCACGTTTATGAGTTCATATTTATCTAACCAGGACTTCGGTTGCAAACTTGCACTTCTGCAGAATGTTTCCATTCTTTCCAGTGCTTCAGGGTATAAGGCTAAAAAGCTGACCACCTGCTTTTTGATTTACGTGAAACTGAAATCCAGATATACAGATACGGGGCTACCTCAAGTAACTTGTTTTTTTAGCACTCAGTGCTCTGAGTAATTCAAACAATACCTTCTATGTGAAAGTCCCTGTTTGTTCTTAAAAAAAATTCCACACTCAGAGACCTAAATTCTGCTATAGGCATGGAAATTTCCATTTACCCTTTCATCATAATATAAAATAAACATGCAGTGTTATATACAATTGCTATAACAGAAAATGTGTACCATTTGCCTATAGAAATTAAAATATGCTTGCATCTTTCCTTTTTTAAAACTTAAAAAATATTTTCACCCTTTCCTTATTTTATGGTACACTTTTCTATTTCTGCTTTACAAAAGCCTGCAGGGGGAGCAGTCTTGCTCTTAATGAACGATAATTGCTCAAAGTGATCCATTTTAGCTTAAACCACAGTAATTATTGTGGAGAATAACAGATTTGGCCAAAGTGAAGCTAGTTGAATATGATTATGTTGAAATTCAAAACTACCTAATTAAAAAGAACAGGAGCAGAAGTGATCAAGCTTGAGGTAACTTGATAAGGAGATCCAAGGAGATCATTTACAGAGCTGTTTGCTTTCCAGTCCTTTGTTGCTGAAGTTACCCACCTCTTATTCTTGATCCTTTAATTGTGATTTGCAGGAAATAATCTATGAATTATTTGATATCATTGGCTTCTTATGATCACTATTACTAATATTACAACAACTCTGGTCCTCCAGGTACAGTTAAACTATAATTCCCAGCATGCTTTCTTATTAGTCAGATTGGCTAAGGACTCTGAAATGTGTAATAGGAAGATGACCATGGATTCCTTATCTTTACTCAGGCCAGAGCCAGACAGATGTGTTAAAGTGCAAAACATCAGAGAAAAATAGCTAAATTTCATTCTAAGACCAACTGAATCCATCTGCCTTAAACAGGAAGGCAGGCAACATTTTAGGCTGTCAAGGCACTTAAATAACTGCCCTAAACTCTGAGGAGCCTCAGTACGAGAGGATCAGGGCTGCTTAAAAAGTTGCAAATCCATTGATGATCATGAAGTACATTTGATTACCTCCTGTAGGATAATGGACTGAGCCAATAGATTATTTATTTGTACCCTGCCTTTCTTATTTTTACAAATAACTCAAGGTGACAACTTACCTTTCTCCTCCCTATTTCCACACAACAACAACCCTGTGAGGTGAGTTGGCATGAGAAAGATGGACTGGCCCAAGGTCACCCAGTTAATTCTCATAGCTAAGATGGAACTAGAACTCACCGTCTCCTGGTGATTGGCTTAAAATCACCCAGCTGCCTTTTATGCCTGAAGTGGGATTAGAACTCACTATCACCTGGTGATTGGTCCCAAATCACCCAGTCATTTTTCATGTCTAAGACTCACGGCCTTCCACTTTGTAGCCTGGTGCTTTAACCATTAGACCTGTGATGGCGAACCTATGGCATGCGTGCCGGAAGTGGCATGCAGAGCCATCCTGTTGTGGCCCCGCCCTCTGAGCCTGTCCCATCGGAGGAAGAAAGCTCCGAGCATGAGGAAGAGGAGTCAGCCAGACCTCCCTCTCCAGGCCCCTCCCCTCTGGCATTATCTCAGGTGCCGGCCGAGGGAGAGGAGATTAGCAGGGAGACAGGTGGCTCGGATCAGAGTGACGGAGAAACATCATTCCTGGACGCACGCCTCCGAAGGCGTGATAAACGATTGCAGCAGCTCAGGAGGCGTGCTAGGGATTAGAACTGAATCACTGGACCACACCCCAGAGACTATATAATAGAGGGTGGTGGCCAGTGATCCCTGTGACGAACAAAGTAAACCTTGGATAGTCACTAAAGCCTCGTCCGGAACTGCTGAGAGAAATATTATTCTGCTTGGACTTTTTGTACGCTAAGTATCTTATCTTTCTGTTTTGTGGAAATAAACGCACTTGGCAGACGGTGTGTAAATCACTGCCAAGTTGGAGAAGACCTGGGTGTGTGCCAAAGTGTTTCCTTAACCCTCGGCTGGCTGTGTTTGTGTGTGTGTGTGGACGGGGACAGATCACATCCCTCTGGGCACATGAGCCATCACCCATTGCTCTTCTGGGTTTCAATGCGCTGGCCATCATGGTCTTCACGCGTGCAGGAGTGCCAGAAACTGAAAGAGCAGCTGCCTGGTCTTGTGGTTTCTGGCGTGCATGCGTGCGCGAAGACTAGCTGGCCAGTCTACGTGCCCGCACTGGAAACTGGAAAATCATCTTCCCGGTGCGTGCCGGGCGACTGCTTTTTCAGTTTCTGGTGCTTTTGGGCGTGTGAAGACCAGCTGGCTGGTGCACCGTAACCTGGAAAGCAAGGGGAGCAGAGCTGCCAGCCAGGACGGGTGGCCTGGGGCCACTCCCTGCCCGAGGGGACTTCTTGTGCGGCCCCAGCCCCCCAGCCTGCAGCAGCGATGCATGTCTGCAGTCTGGAGTGCCTGGCCAGCTCGGGCGCACGGGGCAGCGGGACAGCATTTGCTGGGTGGGTGGGTGGCCACCCACCCCACCCGCTGCTCCTGCTGCC